TCAGTCTAACCCAAGGGCATTTTGTCTCGTGAGAACTAAGGACTCTGTTAAAACCCAACAAGAGACATAAGCTGGCCCACAGAACAACATGGGTGATCCCTCCAAACACAATGTTCCATTTCCGCCAATTGAATGCGAAACCTGTGAGTAGACGATAGACAGGAAGCCGAAGGAATTTTACCGAAAAGGGCTTGTAAGCGACCGTGATGAGTAGCTCGAAGTGATAGCATCGTGGGATAACCAGCAAGCAACGAAACGAGAAGCAAACAAGTAATCACACCCCACGCAATGCCTAACAGACCTCAACACTAAGAACCCCAGGAACTACTGAGCGAACTCAGATATCTCCCCTACAATCCAAGGCATCAAGGCCCATTATAGGTATGAAAGAAACACTCGGGGCGAAGTGACGGCAAGGACAAGGAATAGTACTTAGAACAAAGTGTGAAGAACCTATCCTCCTCGGCTGCATCGACTTCCTTATATAGTGTTCTTCCCGCCCATAGTCATGTGACCCAAAGTGGTCACATGTGTGAAACCAAATTATAACAAACTAATCTTGTGACCAAAGTGATACCATGTTCAAAACCCATGACCTTGTAGTGAGGCCATATCTAAAAACTCATAAACTAATCGTAACACAATAGCCAAGTCATATGACTCGAATGAGTCATATGTGCGAAACCCATAACCTCATAACGAGGTCACATGCTAAACCTAAGTCCTATGCGCAAGGCATACCTACAAGGCACACTTACTAGGTTCACCTTCCATGACTCATATTTGAGCCATGTGCAAAACGTAATAAATCTCAATATAATAAATTATATGACGTGAATGAGTCATATGTATGAAACAATATCATCCCTGTGACTCATAACCATGTGTCACATGAAAACCTTTTCCTTGTCAAGCTACATTCATGACACAGACTTCAGAATTGGTGTAGGCTGGAACTAGTAGATTTTTATTACGTGGGATCCATTACGACAGTCATACCTTGGAAGCTCTACAAACTGTTAGCTGATATCTGTTTGTGAGACTATCAGGAGTAATGGAGCAGTACTTCCCCTGATGATCATTATTCCAGGAGTTATACATCAAGAGCCCTGGTATACAACAACTAGTATACCAGATGATTATCTTGTAGGAACCTCATAGACTGGATACAGTAATGATAAATTGTCACTATAGTGGCTGGAGTATTTCAATTACTTTTCTCTGCAACGAAAAGTAGCCAACTATCGGCTATTACTTCTGAATGAATTTGGCTCTCATTACACTAAGCTGTTCTACAATTACTGTGATAGCTATAAGATTGTTGTCTTCTGCCTACCTCCTCATACCAGTTATCTTCTCCAACCCCATGATGTTGTGGTTTTTCAACTATATAAACAGTATCATAGTGAAGCAGTAGAAGCTGCAACCTGTACTGGCTGTGGAGAGTTTGATAAGATAGAATTTCTGGATACAATAGATTCTATTCGACAACAAACCTTCAAACCTTCCACAATTAAATCTGCTTTTAAGGCAACTGGACTTATCCCATTCAATTCAAGTATTGTAATATCCAAGTTATGTGAAGCAGTTCCACTTTCCCAGCAATCGGTTACACCTCCACAAATGTTATCTACAACAATTCCCATTACTATCCAAAGTTTCAAGCGTATGGGAGAGGAATTACAGCTTGATGCTTAAGACTTGTCACCAACATTTCAGAAAAAACTGAAATTAGTTTTGCAAGGTGGATTGGTACAAGCACAGTCAGGTGCACTGACAATGAAGCACATAGAGCATACTAGGGCAGCAGAACATGTAAGATCTGTAAGACAACAGAGACAGAGTTGACGGCAGGTGCAAAAGAGTGGGGTCATTTATCCGTTACAAGCTCATCAGATAGCAAAAAGCTAAGAGGATGCAGAAATAGAGAAAGCAGAGAAACAGTTGCAAAAAGCTCGGAATGTAAAGAAGTGGTTGGAGCATGAGGAGCGCAAACTTCTGCTTGATAAGATGAAATTAAAGGTCACAAATAGGTGAAAGGTTTTAGCCTATAAGAAGAAAATATCAAAACAAATGGTTATAGGTATTAAAAAACTAGTTAGATTGGGGAAAATAAGTGTAAATTAGAATAATCTGTATTTGTGGTGGAATTATGAAGTTTAGTTGAGCCACAAAAAAAGTTCTGTTTAGTCACAAAAAAGTTCTGTTGAGCCACAAAAATTTGTGTTGAGCCACAAGTTGTGTTGAGCTGTAAAGTAATGTTGAGCTGGCAGGCACTTTGGAAGAGTGCCCCAGGTTGTGGCTGCAAAGCCATAACCGTGGCATGATCATCCCATGGATGAATGAGACATGTAGATTTATGGCCTTCCTAGTTAGGTTAGTACTTGCAAAAGAAACATACATTAGTAAGCTATTCTTGTAACCTCACCTAAATGATCATAGATAATTGTGATTCTACTTAAATTGATCAAAATAGATTCAGCCCAATGGTCAGCCCTTCGCAAGCGGGAAATAACTATTATAACAGTACCAAAGGGAAGCTGCAAACGGCCTCTTAAAAGTAAACCAACTGAAGAGACTTCGGTAAGTTCTGTTACATGGTGGAATGGAGGGCACATAGCCAGAAACTATAATTACTGAGTTATGTATCACAGGCAAAAAAAGTCAAGAGTGCACCGAAGAGGCCAGAGGGGAAAGTGAAGAAGATATCGGCAGAGAATGCGAAAATCCTGGAAAGCCTACCTGAACCCCCAGAATTCGAAGCACATGAAAGTCTATTTTTGGCACATCCAGCAAGTCCAATTCTCCCACCTGAATTCGGCAGCAACCCCAAACTGCTTGCTCTCTTCAACCTGTTTTTTGGAAATAATATCTTAGCCCAAATCATTACCAATACCAACGACTATGCAGAAATCAAACAGCAAACAGCTGAGGGCAACCAAGACTCCTCAGTTACTATCAGCCCATTCCTACCAATGTCTCCTATTCCACCCAGTATTCTCCACCCAGAGTCAGTTTCGCACATGCCTTACCAACCCGTTCTCGACCCTCCGGCCATACATCCTAGTGTACCACTTATTGCCCCAGAACCTCAGTCTTTCCCGCGGCCTTGGTACCCAGTTAGTGTAGAAGAATTGCGAATCTTTATAGGATTGCAGATATGGATGAGGGTACATTCCTTACCTGCTATTGAGGATCACTGGAATCCGGAGATACAGTATCTGATTATGCACAATATGTCCTGTAATCGGTATAAGCAAATAAAACGTTATTTCTATATTTCACCACCAGATGAGACCTACGATTGGGTAAATTGGTGGCGTAAAATGGAGCCACTTGCATCCCACCAGTGCCAGCATTTCCAAGAACACTTCTGGCCATCCTCGAATGTTTCATTTGATGAAATGATAGTTCTCTGTAAAGGCCGGTCAGCACACACTATCAAAATGCCCAGAAAGCCAATAGATCTGGGGTATAAAATCTAAGCTCTCTGTGACCAGGGATATACATATCTGTTTTTATTTTATTCTGGTGCTGTGGAGAATGAGGTTAGTAATTTTACTAAAATGACCAATCAGTATATGAATATTAGCAAGGAACACTCTCTTATCTTGTTTAATTCCAGTGGGCAACAACTTTCGGTTGAAGAAGAAAAAAAACTCTCAAGCGGCTTTTCCCCAACCACCAAGGCAGTATGCCATCTTATTTTTACCCTCCCATTCCTGTCCAGTCAGTTTAACATCTATATGAACAATTACTTTACCAATATTCCCTTATTCCAGCACCTGAGGGACCACGGAATTGGCACTGTTGGCACTACTCAGGCCAAGCGTCACAATTTCCCTTCTGCTTTTTTGATTAGTAAAGAGATAAACTCGAAGCTTTTGGAATGCAATCACCTCTCGGGCATCATAGTAAATAGTGTTTGAACTGCCCTATATCAGGACAATAATACTGTTTTTTTTTAACTACAATTCACAATCTTTGTCAGCTAGTTCTCAGTAATCGCAAAAAAACCAAAAAAAAAGCAGCTCCAATGCAGTATCTGCAAGAAAGCCATTTGGAGCCAGCGAACACCAAAAACTTCTGCCCATTCCAGCTCTCATTAGTGACTACAACAAGTACATGGGTGGGGTCGACATTGCCGACCAGCTTCAAAGTAATTATCTGTCGCATCAAACCAGTCGACGTAATTGGCTTCTGCTCTGGTTTTAGATTCTGGATACGGCAATTACAAATACCTACGTCATTGCTCGCTTGGTTAACTCCAAGTATGAGCATAAAGCCTTCTGCCGTAAGCTTGCTCTTGTCCTTGCTGAGACTAGCTGGTCTCAACTACATCCCCTTCTTACAAACCCTAAACCCAACCCGCATGCCTATGTCACAGCAAAGACATCCTTACCGCCTTTCTCTTTTCGTACCACTGGTGCCCATCTACAAACGTTTTTACTCAATAAAAAATACCAATGCTGGTATTGCCGGTTTAAAAAATGTCAAGGCGACCCTAAAAACCCCCCTCCAATACGTGAATGGGCTGAGATTCTACAAAAAATGAAGGTAAGTGAGACAGGTATTTGGTGTACTTTATGTGAGATACCTCTTTGTAAGCAAAATAAGTGCTTTTTTGATTTTCATACTGTTCTGTAATGGCTTTTGGGTTGTTTTCCTACAAATGGCGTTATTCTTGGAATTGGCTTTTCAGTTGAATTTGATATCACTTGAGCAAATTAACTACAATCTTCTGCCAAGACCCTTGGTTCTAGCTACCATATTAGGAAGGCCGTGAATCTGCATGTCTCATCCGTCCATGGGATACCATCCACCAACATTCCTGCAACACATGCCCACGAATTAAAACTCAACTCCCGCTTTAACAAGTTTATGCTCCCAATCCACCTCACTCTACCTTGAGCTCCTCACCCCCACCAACCAGACCAACCCCTTCCTCTTCTCCTCCCCTCCACGCATCAACCTCACACCCAACAACAACTTGTCTCCCGAAAAACTCGTGCCGACAAAGTGCACACCGCACAGCCTCCATACAATAACCCTCATATACTTCAAAGCACGGCCCGCAAGGTCAGTACGGTGCACCCTGAATACTAGACGGGAACTCGCATGTAACCGGATTCTTGTAGCAGATGGTCAATTCTGTTGCTGTGGGGTTCTGGGGTGCGCTGGAGGGTATTGGGAGGGTATTATAGGGAACGGTGGAGGAGGTGGATGCGGAGATGGATGCGGAGATGGATGCGGAGAGAGGCTGGGGGTACTAGTACTCTTCTGGGTTCTGCATTGTCCAGTTTTCTAGCACTTGGAATTGTGTGAGGGGGTCGGTATGGAGGGGATGTATCCAGGGGTGAACCTGGGCGCAAAAGAGAGTGGTGGCGGACTGAAAGAGAAAAGAGATAGCACTTCCCTAGCTGGCCAAGGAGGAAAGACAAACGATGCAAGGGGGGTATCAACCTAGATGGGTGGGAGCGTGGATAGAGCGCTGAGGCCGGTAATCTGATTAAATGAGAGTAGGGGATTCTCTTGCATAGCATCCATAGCCTCACCTTCCCTTTGCGCCCTTTCAGCGGAAGTATCCCAACCAGCAATCCCAACAGCTAGACTCCCCTCATCCAAAAAGGGTGGCGTCGGGGTCACAATGCCCCTGTCCGTCGACCCGCCACTGCTTAACGAAGACCGGCTAGAAGTAGACGAAGAAACATCACTTCGGGCTGGCGCCACAACAGAAGTCTGCGTAATAGCAGGGTATTCAAGGGGGTAATTTACCTCATTTGCCAACCCACCCAAAGACTCTTCCTCCCCATCCTCCTCCGGATCGGCATCCCCAACGCCAGCCCCCCCCCAGGCGCCGCCACATAAGCATACTTGTCATTCGATCCCCTACGTATTTCAGTTCCAATTTCCGCCCAAAAGCTCTGATTGCGTCGGTCTCGTCGAGGCGCTAGGTCGATGTTCCGATTGAACACGGGAGAGGCGCCACGGAGATAGACTTGTGTTTGCTTGTGCTAGCGCAGGTTCCTGGTTGATTGTGCTGGAAGAGCGGATTTGCTGGGATGGCGAGGGAAGGGCGGAAGTGCTGGGTGTTGTATTGGAAGAGTCAAAGACAGAGGGGGGGTCGAATTGGAATGCGAGAGCGGGTGGGTGCGGGTGGGATCGTGGGGGTCTTATGATGGTGCGGGTGGTGATGCGGAACAGATCCCTCACCCCCTAACTGAAGGTTTGGAATATCACCTCGCTGACTTGTGTTTATGTTACTACCTCTCTGGGAGTACTATCCCTCGAGGATTGAGTTGTGGTGGTTGTATGATAGCAGCGACGCTCAAAGGGGAGGGGTTCATGAGGGATTCTGTGCATTCGACCAACTCTGGACTGCCGGGGTTCGCCGACTTTTCCATGGACCCCGGGGACAACGACGAGTCCTCGCCAGATGAAGCATCATTACTCCTCCCCCGCAGTTCACACTCCACCGCTTCCGAAGAAGACGGCGATGAAGTGGTACACCCCCCGGACCATCGATACCTCTCATCACCGTACTGGTGGCTCGGCCTTGTCCTCATGTCAATCGGGGAATACGGCAACTTTCTCGCCTACAGGTTCGCGCTTGCGAGTATCGTATCCCTACTCGGTGTCGTGGCGCTAATCTCAAACTGCGTCATAGCACTCGCGATGCTCAAAGAGCCATTCCGCGGCCGAGATCTCCTCGGCGTTGTGGTCAGTATTTGCGGCGCTGGGATTGTGGTCTGGAGTGCCGAAAAGGAAGAAGTCAAGGTTGGCGATACCTAATCCGGTATTTATTTTACCAGCCCGTCTTCGTACTGACTGGCTGCTGTACTGCGAAATATAGCTTGGATCTCATCAGATCCTTGAGGCCATCACGCAGACTACTTTTGAGGTTTACTTTGGGATTACGTGCAGCCTTATTGCCCTGTTGATGTATATTTCCCCAAAGCGTGGAAGAAAGTACACATTCATTGATTTGGGGCTTGTGGGATTATTCGGTACCCCCCCCCCCTCCCTCCTTCACGGTGAAGTTACTAACGGAGGGTAGGCAGCTATACTATCCTCTCAACAAAAGGAATATCATCCCTCCTCTCCTCATCCTTCTACCAAATCTTCACCTTCCCGATAGCGTACCCCCTCGCTATAATCCTGGGATCAGCGATATTATATAGACTTTGAAACTGTCGACGTGGGGGGATGCTGAAATTTGTTTCTGGATGTTTGCTGACGTTTTACGGTGTGTGGATAACTTACCCCGGCCGCGGCAAGGCCAAGAACCCAGATGACGAATCAGACTATGGGAGCGATTTCGATCCTGTAGTGGGGCTAGAACGGGGGGTAGTAACGCCCCGTAGGAAGAGCAGACCCTTTCTCCTCGATGGGGCCGACATTACTAGTTCTAGCAGTGAGGGCGAGGGAGGAGATTAAGCCTCTCCCACCCGCCATACCCTCTCACCACTTCTCGAAGAACCGCCTGTAACCCGCCCGCAAGTTACACGGGGCACCCCCAGCTCCTCCCTAGCAGGGACCGAACGCTCCATGGCACTTTCAGATGCTATGCATTCCAACCTCACCCACGCCGACGGACCCCAATCCAGCCGGAAGAACTGTCTCACCCCTTCCCACCGCCGATCAATTTCTTCCCTGCTCCCGGGACCGATCGTTGCCGGCTCGCAATTAAAAGCTGTGGTCGTCGGGAGCGTTAAGAAGCGGCGCCGGGATGAGAGCGTTGGTAGGGAGCGGAGTAAGAGTCTGAGCTTTGTGCTGGATTTGCTGAAAGGTCGTAGGGGCCAGAGGGGTGCTGGTGGCGGCCACGGAGGAGGGGGAATGGAAGGGTAGTACGGGTTGTTTGTCTGTTTGTTTCCGGTTGATGGGGTATTGGGCAGCTGGCAGGCGGATGGGTGGAGGAGTTATGATTCGTAATTTACCCGTGGCTTATTTTTTTTTTCTTTAATTGCTTTTTGCTTTATCGTTCTTAATCCCACTATTGAGCTTTTTGGCACTTCGTGATACCCCTGTATAGTAGAGCTAGATCATGCATTGCGTGGTTGGGTAGTATTTTTTTGCTTACCTAGGAGCATTGGCCTTTGTACTATAGTTTCTTACGGTTCCCAGTTAGTGAGCTTTTGGAACTGTCACTTATCTATGGTTAAAGGGATGATATTGTCAAGTAGTTTTTTCATATTAGACAATCAATTTCAGATAGCTCCTGAGCGCCCAATTGTTCATATGATGCCGATTAATTATTTGCTGAACTGAAATTATGGTTATATATGGGCGATAATCGGAGTTGCGGACCGCTGAGAGTCTTATGCGGATTCCACTAGATGCAAAGTGAGGACACCAGCGATCACAGACCCTGTCCAGTCCCTTACCCATGGCGGAAGTCGAATCTGAGACGACGGGAAATGGCCGACGGAAGCGAGCGGGTGTGTCCTAAAGACTAGTGTTGTGCACGAGCCGAGTGGACTTGAGCCTGGGTGGTCACTAGGCTCGAGCCAGCTATCAGATTGCTCATGCTAACCAAGGCCTGGCTTGGGCTACCGGAGGTGGAAACATGGGAAGAGGTAGAGGAAACCCGTGGGGAAGATGGGAACTATGAGGCAGACACGGAAGGAGATAGTGAGCTTCCCCTGGAATTGGACTCGGGGATAGTGGGAAGGTCATTTGGATAGTTGTATTTATTTTCAAGTTGCTAAATACAATTGTTGGTTGATTTGGATGATAGTTGCAGCGTGTAGAGGTATCGTGGCCACTCTAGACTCAAGCCTCTTGGCGGCTCGAGTCTAGGTGCGACCTAAGCTTGCGAACAACACTACTCTCCTCTTGTGTTTACTAAAGACAAGAGGAGAGCCATCGGCGCCAAGGTCCGCTCCTCCTCCTCCTTCTCCGCCCCTACCCTTTTGAGGTGAGCCATTGGCTGGGCAACCTGTGCATAGGGCCTCCTATGCAGGCATCTTTGGGGGTGGACAATGGTGGAGAGTCTCGTCCAGCTGCAGCAGCTGGGTGGGGTGGCCATAGTAGGGACTTGGCGATTTTGCATCTAGAGTCAAATCCTAGCGGTCTGGTTGGTCTAGAACCGCATTTGCCTTACATCTAGACTCTTTTCGCAAAGTCTCTAGTATCTCTCCTAGATTCCGTACTCGCCCTCCTCTGGTATGCCCGCGGGGAGGTAGTAGCCATACTGCTCGCGTATCTGCCAAACATATTCCTCCACGGGCAGTTTTATCATTGTCGTGGGGGGGGGGGTGAAAATTCATCAATTGAGGCTCCTTTTCTCTTCTTTCTTTGTATCTCGGAATGGGGGAATAGATATTATTCTACTTTGTGAAGCACCACGTTGCAATTGCAATCAACCCGTAAACCGCATTACGATACAACAACCCGCATCAATCACCCTCATCTCAAACCCCCAACAAGCGCGGCAAAGAGGGGCAAAAAATCGCGCTCGAAAGCCATGCCCTCAAAATCCACCTCCCTGGTCCATCCGGAGCCCGCACCATCGGAAAGAACGAAGAATAGAGTACCGGCTCAAAAGAAGGATGCTGAAGAGGAGTTCCTCGAAAAATTAATCTTTAGCGACACGGAAGGTTTCAAGGATGAGTTGGATGAAGTTGATGGTGGAGATTCTGACGAGAGCGACCAAAGAAGGATTGGGCTTGTCAGAGATGGAGATGGAAATGAAGATGTGGGAGCAGACTTATAAGCGCTTCATGACGATGAATTATTCTTTGTCAATGAGGGGCTGTCCGACACCGCTATAATCCCCTCCGAGAGTAATCGGGACGCCAGCCATGACTCTTCAGAAGAGGAAGGAGAGGAATGTCTTCCAGCATGGCAAGGCTCCCATGGCGAAGCGCTCACCATCTTACTTGCTAATCGGGGCTTGCTGCGAATGCCTCGGGACACCGAGACTGAAGACCTCGTCAGCGGGAAGGAATATTTTGCGCGGCTGCGCAGGCAGTTTGAGAGGATCTATCCCGTGCCTGAGTAGGCTATTATTTATTTGGTTAGGAAGAAGGCGAGGTTATATGGCGCAGGTGCGGGGAGTAGCGATGAAGAGATGGACGGGGTAGGGAGGAGGAGGCGGGAGAGCAGGAAGCAATGAGATCTGCGCCTAGTCTTGAGGAGATTCTAAGGAGTATGCGGAGGAAGAGAGGAGGAAGGAGGGGACAAGACTTAAGAAGGAAGAGGAGGATAGACAGAGGGAGGAATTGGCGAAAGTCAATCACTTGGAAATGTTCAAGACAGACGGTAAATTCTCGGAGTGGGATGACCAGGGGATTCCTACAAAGGATAAGGAGGGGACGGAAGTTATGAAGAGTAGGAGAAAAGCGCTGGTTAAGGAATGGGAAAAGCAGAAGAGGTTGCACGAGGAGTGGTTGAAAGCAAAGGGTGGCACGGCTTTTGAGTCGGGAAGTGAAAACAGGTTGGGGTGAGTGATTAATTATGAGGCTTTTTTGTTTCCTTTTTCTTTTTTTTCTTAGTACCCCCAAAGATGTGGGGGGAGATTGTTTTGCTAGATGTTGACTGGCTATTCCTGGCGAAGGTTGGGGCGAGTGATTACTTGTGAGGCTTTCTGCTTTGTTTTATTTTTTATTTTCTTAGTTCTTTTAAACTTGCGAAGGGAGGTTGTTTTGCTAGATGTTGACTGACTATACCTGGATGTTGTGGACGTGATTGTATAGAGTATATATACCTAGTTGTATGCCACATATCGTGATTTATTGGGGGTGGGGGATATTGTACCAGTGAATCTACTGAGTACAAGTGATGGTAGGTATCTTGATACTATGCGCCTAGTATCACACGTAACCTGCCA